CACTTCCCTTCTTATTCACCCCTAGATAGAATAATCAAGGAAAAAAAATATAACAAATTGAGGAACCTACGGCTAAGATCCAAGGATCGATAGAGCCACAAATTATTTCATTACATTTATTTTAAGCTAGATCCAAGGATCGATAGAGACACAAATACTAGAGCCACTTGTGTAGGGACCTGATGGTATGATAGCAATTAAAAGGCAGAAATTTTGTAATGCGAGTATACACGCTATAACACGTCAAAAATATAAATATAATTATTTAAATAAATTATATTTCTAATACACCTAACTCCTCAACCGAACTCTATGTTATTAGATAGAGCAATTAATAGTCTTAATATTTTATTGCATTATTGTATGCTAACAGCTGCTGGGACATCAAATAATGCTCGCTAGTCAAATTGGTAATGGGAAGGCACTGATTTTATTTGAAAGAATTTTCAATGTTTCAAAATAATAAAAAATAAAAAATTATCACAATATATAATGAATAATTTATCTAAAATATTAAGTTGTTAGCTAGGATTACGGAGTATATTATTTAAATATTATCTGCAATAATTATACGTAAACTCGTATATGTTGATGGTATAAAACTTGACTAATTATGTAGCAATCCGTATAATATAGTTCTATAATATAAATTATATAATGAGAAAGTGTGACAAAATCCAGAAAAAATCCACCACATCGTGCTTTAATTTAGTACATTTTATATTGAATTATTTAAGGTTTCGAAGCATTGAGGTAGAAGAATAATGAGAGCCCTTTTAGGTGTTGGAAAAAGCAATTATAAATGAGAAGTCCCATTTCTATTGGTCCCCTACACTTTAATAATTTGAAAAAAGAAGCATCTTTTCTGGCTATTTTTATTTGCTTTCACATAATCATTATTACTGAAAATAACAATAATAAAAAAAAGTTATAATGCTACATATAATAATAAAAAAAGCATCTAATTAAAGTTTAGACATTTTCCCCATTATTTTTAAAATATATTTCTCTCTCTTATTTTCAGTCATATATTTTTTAATAAAATAATATTACATGTAAACCTAAATTTTTTTCTTATTTTTCAACCACACATTTTTCATCAATCTATTATTTCAAACTATATTTTTAAGAAAAATGGGGCTTAGATGGGAATATATAAATGACTCAAAGCATCACCACGTTCCTTAAAACCATTATGGGGTTTTTATAGTGGAAATTTATTAAAGTATCTTAATATATGAAATGCGAGTCTTTTTTAAAAAACTTAATACCTGTAGTTTGATTCTCGATTTTAAGATATAAATGAATAAAGAATGAAGGAAAAAATAAACAAATTAGCGAATTAAACTAATATGGTTTGATTCTTGTCAGTTGCACTGTAGTTTTTTGTGTTTTTCTGTGACAACTATTGGTTACGATAGTGGTCTCATATGACTCTCAAGTGAGTTGAGGAGAATGATGGTTGCCAATATCGTCTTGCATACTTTCATCATATGGAGAGGCTTGTAAAAAGTTGGGTTGCTAACCACATCATCATCACAAACAAATGCAGCTTGTGTAAAGTTGGATTTACAACATACAAGCATTTAAATTGAAGCACATGTTGCCCGTTAACACCAGTAAAGGTCACTTTACATACATGATACAATATGTTGTACGATATGAAAAAACAAAATGTGTAGCACGTTATGTTGATTATTCTCGAATAATATCTGAATATAAAAGTAGATAATATCTTTATACAATATGCTTGATTAATTAAAATATTTTTAATTTGTTTTAATATTGTAGCACTTTTTGGACATAATCGCAAACCTCTTTTGACTTCAAATTATTTTATCAAATTTAAATATTTTTTATATTAAGAATTAGATCACATGGGATAAATATTTTAAAACCATATCGTGTAGATAATCATATTTATTATTCATATCGATATCCTTTTTGTCAATGAATATATCACTTTTTAAAAACAATTAATTTAATGTATAAGGAAGTCATATTGTACAAATAATCTTGTTTTCTGAAAAGTTGTAAGGTGAATAGAAATAATTTGTTAAGTTGTATTTGAAAAAAAA